TTTATAGCCGATTTTTATATTTTTCTGTGTTCATTATGTGGGTTAATATGTACATACATTTTATATGGAAATTAAAACTAATCAACAAAATAATTAGTCCATTTTCTTTATCAAATTTCTTTTGAGACCCCCCCCCCCCCCCCAATCTCCCAAACTGCAGAATTCTGGATCATCTGCTGTGAGTATGTGAATGCTTGAATGAACGCTACAATTGTCCCCATTTCATGCTTCATGATTTATGTATGCCATTCATTTGAATTTCCACAGATTCAGAAGTGTATCATTTACGAATTGTACCCAAATGGCTATCATTCATCATCCTACTGTCTGGGGAAGTTTCTCAGTCTCCTGTCTCATCTGACAGACCTGAAGATTTTCAAATGTTTCTTTCATGATGATTTCTACAAGGAGATTGCTGATCGAGCTTCTTCATCTCAGGTAAAATATACATTTTTTTAATGCAGAAAAACAAAAGATGCAAATATTTTTTTATTTTTTTTAAACCTGAAGTTGTGTGAAAGGAATACAAACAAATTGTTGTAAATATTCTATATACTTTTCCAAGAATGTAAAATTGTTATTTCACAAATCAGGTGAAGAAAAATAAACAGTAGATGGGCTAGTACTAGTGTAGTACAAGTGAAGCATTATCTTGATTTAATCAAATATGTATTCAGTAATGTGTCTTACACTAACTAATAACGCTGACATTTGTAAATCTATATGCTTTCACTAATTTGATGAATTTCTAGTTTCATATGAAAGATTTGAAATTAATGTTCCCCTATACAATGTTCTACGTACTGTTCCAATAACTGCATCATTTCCTCAATAAAATGACAAATGCAATGTAAAACTGAGGAGATGTGAATTATTTGTTGACATATTATTATTTTTCTTTGTTCCGAGATTCCAGGTAAGAAGTTGGCCTACATATACATGTAAATGTCATCAATTTTCTGGCTACTTTTCCACGGGCTAGGGCTGGGAATTTTGGGTATATTTTTAATTCGGGAACCCGCTTTAATTTGAAACTTATAGATTAAAAAGTCACCGTCTAAAAAGTGCTAGATTTAGTCCCGTTGTTGTATCTAAATGTTCCTATTGCTTAAATTTGACTAATTATAGAAGCAAAATACCTTTAAATATACATGCATACCTTGGTGGATATCGGAATATCTCATAATATTTCTTATCCATGTTTGGTAATGTTTAGTACCATTATCATGCCTCTGAAATTTAAAAAACTGGGGCAAAAATAGAAAGAGAACATGCGAGCCGCCATTTAGATTCATGCAGAATAATAAATCAGGCTAAAAAACATTAATGTTGGAATAATAAAACGGCTTTCTAAAATATAATAATAATTATTATTATTCAAGACAAATTTTTTTTTTTCTCTTATTCCAAACACAGTATGCTTCTTTTAAGAGCTGATAATTACCTAGTTATCACAACAAGATTCAATACTAATCGCTGTTGTAAGGCAAGTTCGGATAAGCCACGGAAGGAATGTGCAGTACACTTCATTACCGTAGCTGTAATGCATGTCGAAAAAAACCCAAACAAATATATGTGATCTTACCAAGAAATCATTCAAAACTACAAGAGCACAATTGGAAAGACAACAACTACTCAAAATTATTCAGAAAAAGCCACAGAAAAAGTGATATTTGAGGAGTTGTCATCAACATTTTGTTATATGTGCGTTTTAGAGGAACCCCCCCCCTCCCCCCCCCCCCCCCCGCCCCAACGAAACAAAATATCGATCGGCCAAATGTTTAAATTTTGGGACACAAAAAAAAGAAAAAAATGCTCTTAGGGTGTGTAGTCCTGAAAAGGACTGTTGGTGTAGTCTTGAAAAAGACTGTTGGTTATCTTGCTTTATCAGCATTCTGTTGTCTGGAAGAGTTACTCTTTATTCAATCAAAAAATGAAAAAAAAGAAAGTCTCCTTCTAGAAATACAGGATGACAAATCAGCAACCTGCTGTGTGCAGAATTTCTCAGTCTCCAGAATAGAGCAATTATCCAGCCATATATTTTATAGCCAATTTTCATATTTTTCTGTGTTCATTATGTGGGTTAATATGTACATACATTTTATATGGAAATTAAAACTAATCAACAAAATAATTAGTCCATTTTCCTTATCAAATTTCTTTTTGACCCCCCCCCCCAATCTCCCAAACTGCAGAATTCTGGATCATCTGCTGTGAGTATGTGAATGCTTGAATGAACGCTACAATTGTCCCCATTTCATGCTTCATGATTTATGTATGCCATTCATTTGAATTTCCACAGATTCAGAAGTGTATCATTTACGACTTGTGCCTACATGAAGACCAATCATCCTTCTGTCTGGGAAGTTTCTCAGTCTCCTGCCTCATCTGACAGACCTCGAGATTAACTCATGTGACTTTCATGATGATTTCTACAAAGAGATTGCTGATCGAGCTTCTTCATCTCAGGTAAAATATACATTTTTTTAATGCAGAAAAACAAAAGATGCAAATATTATTATTATATATTTTTTTTAAAACCTGAAGTTGTGTGAAAGGAATACAAACAAATTGTTGTAAATATTCTATATACTTTTCCATGAGTGTAAATTGTTATTTCACAAATCAGGTGAAGAAAAAAAAAACAGTAGATGGGCTAGTACAAGTATAGTACAAGTGAAGCATTATCTTGATTGAATCCAATATGTATTCAGTAGTGTGTCATACACTAACTAATAACGCTGGCATTTGTAAATCTATATGCTTTCACTAGTTTGATGAATTTCTAGTTTCATATGAAAGATTTGAAATTAATTTTCCCCTATACACTGTTCTACGTACTGTTCCAATAACTGCATCATTTCCTCAATGAAATGACAAATGCAATGCAAAACTGAGGAGATGTGAATTATTTGTTGACATATTATTCTTTTTCTTTGTACTGAGATTCCAGGTAAGAAGTAGGCCTACATATACATGTAAATGTCATCAATTTTCTGGCTACTTTTACACGGGCTAGGGCTGGGAATTTTGGGTATATTTTTAATTCGGGAACCCGCTCAAATTTGAAACTTATAGATTAAAATGTCACCGTCTAAAAAGGGCTGGATTTAGTCCCGTTGTTGTATCTAAATGCTTCTATTGCTTAAATTTGACTAATTATAGAAGCAAAATACCTTTAAATAAACATGCATCTTATATGAAGTTGTTTCTTATCCATGTTTAGTAATGTTTAGTACCATTATCATGCCTCTGAAAGTTAAAAAACTCGGGCAAAAAAAAAAAGAGAACATGCGAGCCGCCATTTTGATTCATGCAGAATTAATAAATGAGGCTAAAAAACATTAATGTTGGAATAATAAAACGGCTTTCTAAAAAATAATAATAATAATAATAATTCAAGACTAAATAAATATTTTTCTCTTATTCTAAAAACGGCATGCTTCTTTTAATGAGCTGATAATTACCCAGTTATCACAACAAGATTCAATGCTAATCGTTGTTGTAAGGCAAGTTCGGACTAGCCCCGGAAGGAATGTGTAGTACACTTCATCACCGTAGCTGTAATGCATGCCGGAACAAACTCATACAAATATACGCGATCTTACCAAGAAATCATTCAAAACTTCGAGAGCACAATTGGAAAGACAACAACTACTCCAAATTACCATACATAACTTCAACAAAGAAAACAATACTTATCTAGAGAAGTATAGGTACATTTTTATCGGAATGTATGGGCCCGCTACGAGGTACGTGCACATATATTGTTTATTTTGATAACAAGGCTAGAATCCACTCTCCTGCCCTCTACGGTAAAAAACAGTATAACAATGGATTCAAGCATAGTGATTATATATGTGCAGCATACCCAGTAACTCGTCGAAAATCACTATTTCTGTGGCATTTCCTGGACGACTATTGAATTCTTTTTCCAATTTATGTATCTGTTTTAAAGTAATTTTTAGTAGTTGTCATATTTTTGTGCTCTCGTCATTTTGAACGATGTTTTGGTACAATCACATTTTCAGTGCCTGAGGATACACTGATAATGACACAGTTTGTAAAATCCATGCTTTCTCCAATATGATTGATGAATTTCTACATGTAGCTTCGTAAAGGTTCTTAATTTTCTCCAATACAATATGCTACTGCCCCATTACAATTTTTTCTCACCTATTTTCTTGCTCACCAGATATCTTTTTCCGCCCCCCCCCCCTCCCTTCAAAATTCTGGATCTTCTGCTGCGATTAAATGAATGCTTAATGTGAGAGTACAGGTTATCATAATGGTTTCCCCTCTTTTTCCAATGTTATGCTTCATGATCGATGCATATGCCATTCATTTGTAAAATTTCAATTCTATCAATCAACACACTTAAGCTAATCTAGGTATGGAAATAAAGTGAAACATATAAAGATCATGAGAACTTATAATTCCCTCTCTGCAGTTTTGTCTTCTTCACCTTTACGGCTATCTTGTTTGTTATCCACTGAAGATTGTATGTATTATCAGTGATGCATAGATGTGATATTATGTATGCTGCATGAACATGACTGATGCCAATTGATTAACTATCCCTGCAGATCCAAACAGTCAACCTGGATTTCAATGTGATTGATGACTTGCCAGTCCAAAGTCAGTCAGCATCCAAGCAGCTAGCCAAGTTTCTCTGCTCTCTACCCTGCCTTACAACCTTAGAGATCAAAGACAATGAATATTTACCTAATGTTTTCTTCACTGAACTAGCTTCCTTGGCTGCATCCTCACAGTTAATAAGAAAAGTCAGTTCTCAGGCAGTAGAAACATGCATGGATGTAGAAGCACTTTCGCTGCTCTTCATCAATGTTCACACAGTAGTATATAACAAGCAAAGTAAAAGATTTTGTGTAGAAGTTTTGAAAGCCAGACTCGTCCATTTATAGTTTTAAAAAAACAACCAGGATGAAATCGGGCAAGAAATAGAGGAAAAGAAACATTGCAGTTGTGAATCAATTAAAAAAAAAAAATCTATTGAGTAACTACTCTTCAGGAATTATAGAATTAGATACGAATTTACATAAGCATGAGAACTTATACTTCACTTCATGTATGAAATATTGTGTCCATGAAAATTTGAATTCCCCAAAATATCCTATCCTTTTTCCAATTTTAACTAGACCTTAAGTCTGTTCATTTTATCGAATTGGTAGTTTTATCACGTGACGTGAGTTAGCTTGGAGAGTTCAGGGTGAGATAGAAAGAGAGAACGAGCGAAATAAACTTTTGTTGGCAACCCAATGTTAAAGCCCCACTGCACTACTTATAGCTACTTGCGCCCCTAGATAGCAAACAATGTCTAATCGGTGCATGTTGGTCCCCCATGATCCCCTTTTTCTTATCTTAATTGAAAGCTGATTTGATGAGATAAACTTCTGTTTTTGACCTTGCAGGGAGGTCTAATCCCCCTGGCCAAACTATTGCAGACGGGCTTTAATGAATTGGTAAAAACAAAGTAGAACAAATGAAACCCCAAGGTACTTGCCTTTTTTGTTTGTATACCTCTGTCACTGAAGGTGATGCATGGAGGCATTACATATATTTTTGGCTTGTCCGTCGGTCCCGCTTTTTGTTACCGCTATATAACTTGAGAAAATTACATGGATTTTAACCAAACTTAGATGAAGTATGAACTGATTTGATTATACAAACAAAACATCAATAGTCAGAAATATGCACAAACAATGTTTAAAAGTACACAAAATATGAGAAAAGATCTCTTTATACCGCGATAACTTGAAAACAGAGCTGCGAACCATTACATTTTTCCCGGAATTAACACGTTTTGTCTTCATAAAATACTCTTTTTTTGTTTACATACCGCTCATCAAACAATTGCACTAAAATTTTATTTTGATCACACATTCAATAGAAAAGTAAGGTTAAAAACATACTTGAAAACATACTTGAAGAGAAAAAAATTATCAAAAAGAATGAAACGCCGATAGTACCAAGATAAAACATTCCTACTTGTAAAGAAACTATAGGTCCTAATATAGAAAAAGCAGCGTGAGGAATGGAATGGACATTTCTGCATTGGAATTGTGTCGCACGCGGTTGTTAGTTTCGTTTTAATGAATCCTTTTTTTTTTTTTTGCTTGAAATTGCTTTTTTTGCCATCATGGTTACTTATTTTGGTCGCACAAGGTTGGCAGCATTCTGGATCATCTGCTGTGAGTATGTGAATGCTTTAATGAATGCTATAATTTTCCCCATTTCATGCTATACCATTTTATGTATGACATTCATTTGAATTTCCACAGATTCAGAAGTTTATCATTAGTTACTTGTACCTACATGACGATCAATCATCATCTGGCTATCTGGGGAAGTTTCTCAGTCTCCTGTCTCATTTGACAGACCTGACGATTAACTCATGTTCCTTTCATGATGATTTCTACAAAGAAATTGCTGACCAAGCTTCTTCATCTCAGGTAAAATATACATTTGTTTTAATGCAGAAAAACAAAAGATGCAAATATTATTATTATTTTTTTTTTAACCTGAAGTTGTGTGAAAGGAATACAAACAAATTATTGTAAATATTCTATATACTTTTCCATGAGTGTAAAATTGTTATTTCACAAATCAGGTGAAGAAAAAAAAACAGTAGATGGGCTAGTACTAGTGTAGTACAAGTGAAGCATTATCTTGATTGAATCCAATATGTATTCAATAGTGTGTCTTACACTAACTAATAACGCTGACATTTGTAAATCTATATGCTTTCAGTAGTTTGATGAATTTCTAGTTTCATATGAAAGATTTGAAATTAATTTTCCCCTATACACTGTTCTACGTACTGTTCCAATAACTGCATCATTTCCTCAATGAAATGACAAATGCAATGCAAAACTGAGGAGATGTGAATTATTTGTTGACATATTATTCTTTTTCTTTGTACTGAGATTCCAGGTAAGAAGTAGGCCTACATATACATGTAAATGTCATCAATTTTCTGGCTACTTTTACACGGGCTAGGGCTGGGAATTTTGGGTATATTTTTAATTCGGGAACCCGCTCAAATTTGAAACTTATAGATTAAAAAGTCACCGTCTAAAAAGTGATAGATTTAGTCCCGTTGTTGAATCTAAATGTTCCTATTGCTTAAATTTGACTAATTATAGAAGCAAAATACCTTTAAATATACATGCATACCTTGGTGGATATCGGAACTTCTCATATGAAGTTGTTTCTTATCCATGTTTGGTAATGTTTAGTACCATTATCATGCCTCTGAAAGTTAAGAAACTCGGGCAAAAATAGAAAGAGAACATGCGAGCCGCCATTTTGATTCATGCATAATTAATAAATGAGGCTAAAAAACAATAATGTTGGAAAAATAAAACGGCTTTCTAAGAAAAGAAAAAAAAATAATTCAAGACAAAATAAATATTTTTCTCTTGTTCTAAACACGGCATGCTTCTTTTATTAAAGAGCTGATAATTGCCCAGTTATCACAACAAGATTCAATACTAATCGTTGTTGTAAGGCAAGTTCGGACTAGCCCCGGAAGGAATGTGCAGTACACTTCATCACCGTAGCTGTAATGCATGCCGGAACAAACTCATACAAATATACGCGATCTGACCAAGGAATCATTCAAAACTACGAGAGCACAATTGGAAAGACAACAACTACTCCAATTTACCATACATAACTTCAACAAAGTAAACTTTATCCAGAAAAGTATAGGTACATTTTTATCGGAATGTATGGGCCCGCTACGAGGTACGTGCACATATATTGTTTATTTTGATAACAAGGCTAGAATCCACTCTCCTGCCCTCTACGGTAAAAACAGTATAACAATGGATTCAAGCATAGTGATTATATATGTGCAGCACTCCCCTTTCGATAAAATATACCCAGTAACTCCTCGAAAATCACCTTTTCTGTGGCATTTCCTGGACGACTATTGAATTCTTTTTTCAATTTATGTATCTGCTTTTAAGTAATTTTTAGTAGTTGTCATATTTTTGTGCTCTCGTAGTTTTGAACGATGTTTTGGTACAATCACATTTTCAGTGCCTGAGGATACACTGATAATGACAGTTTGTAAAATCCATGCTTTCTCCAATATGATTGATGAATTTCTACATGTAGCTTCGTAAAGGTTCTTAATTTTCTCCAATACAACATGCTACTGCCCCATTACTATTTTTTCTCACCTATCTTCTTGCTCACCAGATATCTTTTTCCGCCCCCCTCCCCCCCCCCCCCTTTCAAAATTCTGGATCTTCTGCTGCGATTAAATGAATGCACTGGTTTTTTAACATATACCAAATGTGTCCAAAATAGGGTCTGAAATGAAATCATGTTTACTCACTTCAAACATGTATTTTTAGGATCAGGACTATTCATATTTTTGAGAAATGCAAATTTTGGACCTTAATCTATCTTTTTATTTGTTCACCAGATATGAATACTTTGAGTTTTTACAATTTTATTGTGAACTATAGCATATCTAATAACTGTGATATAAAACTCATTTGCTATTAACTTCACCAACAAATATGTTGGTCTTTAAGAATATGTTTCAGAGATTATTCATGCAAATTTTTGAGTTTCTATCTTGAAAAATACAGATTTTGTGTCCCTTGAAAGTGAAAAATAGCTCCAAATTAGGGTTTTGACAATAACAAGTTTTTATTTCAATAGGTAAAATGCTTTTTTCTTAGTTCAAATTTATTTTATTATAACAACTGATGATATAAGTTAAATACATCCCAAAAAATTGGGGAACCAGTGCATTGCCTAATAATTTTCATATGTCACACCACTGGTGTTTCGGACGTTACACACTGTTAAAGTTGATACTCTAAGCAAATAAATGTCCCTTAATTTGTTACCTACGGCAAGTATATGTTATTTTTAAGTTTTTCAATTACTTAGTATATCACAAAAAATTCTGTCTACTCGAAATCCTAAATTGAAATGTCTAAAATATCCGCCTCTCTTTGCATAGAAAATCAGTCACGACGCTGGTCTACTATTTATGACCTCACGTCCGGGAGAGAGTATATTCACGTACCCGGATGTTCCATAGCAAACATGTGCAGAGTGATACGATTTTCTGCATATTTTTGTTTCAAAGGCTGAAAAGTCTAATAAATCATAATTCTATGTACAATTCTTTACCTTCCCCTAGTATTTCATAGTATTAATATCGATTCCCCTTTTAAAAATTATGACATATACATACCAACGATGTGCTATTAGTCGATATTTTCACCATGTAATTTTTGTTTTGGTGTTGAAATCGGCCCAGGCACGGAGTAAACAGTAGCTGTCTACCCATGCACAGTTCATTACCATACACTACAGCGATCTCCCGATGGTTTCTTCTTCCTTTTTCCCATGTCTTTCGCCTTCCTTGGCCCTGAACATCCTTCATCTACCAATTCTGACACCGGTTGTCAGGAGCAAGTCTTTGTTAGTTGTTTTTCTTAGCTGGCAACGTCGCTTTCATTCTCTTGCAATTGCCGATAAACATATAACTAGCGCACGTACGTTCCATCACAAGCAAGCAGCGCCTAGAGCAGCGGCTTGGTCTTACCTCCCGATTCTGCTCGCTCCACGAACGTTCATGCAAGAGCCGCATCACTCGCCAAAATATTATAGAGGAAGCGCGCTTGCATGATCTCGTTCAAGTTTGATATTTTACAACATAAAATGTTTAACTGGTACTGTATCCTTTTTGAGGCAGTCACACACATCTATGATAAGTACTATCATAGTTCTAGACATATTCGTTTTACAAAACTGCTCATGTACATCTGATGACAATATAATGCATCCGCCTATTCATAAGTGCACGATTTAACTTTAATTCCTAAGCAGTAAACTCGTCTTAAATCTCTACCAAATAGGTGAATATGAGGATATAAAAAGAAATCAGCGACTGGAAAATGTTGCTTCGTTATTCTTCATTCAAATGAAAACAGAAAATCCATCAAATATACTCCGTAACAACAACAAATCTAAGCTCTGACAGGATAGCATTTACGTAGGGATATCACTGCCATTCACTCTCACTGAGCCCACGACTCCCGTTCGTGACGTCACGGATAGAGGCCCGACTCTACGTGCACTTCCGGGTTTCAGACTTAGATATTTTGGTAGAGTTTACTCGAATAAATTCATTATTCTAAACTTGTTTTGTCGGGTGGACACCATTTGATGTTATTATGGAGGTTAAAAGCTTTCTATTTATGTTATTATCTCAGTATTTGGGATTGTCTTAGAGTATCAACTTTAACACCATAACTTTATTCAAGTTAATTGCTTTTCTTTAGGTATTATTGACCTAAGTTACATTAATTGTTTGCAGAAAAATATTTCTTTAACATGTATTGAAAAACTTGTGCAGTTTTAAATAGTTTTGCACATATACCTAGTTTGTCTTCATCGACTACTCAATTTATGTAAGGTAAACTGTTCATTTCAGGAACGTGTAGTTAAAAATGCTTATGTGATCTAACAAAGAGAAATATGGATCTAATAGCAATTGTAGTCATCACAACTCCTAGAAATTTCACTTTATACAAACATACTCTCTTTTGCAGGTTATGAACAACAGTGTACAATATATGCTATAGTTTGTTTCGGATGTTACAAGATGTGAACATTTCAATCAGATCATCAATTTCTTCAAACTTTACAACATAGATGTTTAATCGGCTTGCTTTGTACTTTGCCTTAAACTAGATTCATGTAGTGTGTCATTCAATAATATCACTATCACATACATGTACAGTGTGTACAGTGTAAGCAAAACATTACAAAAATACTTTTAACAAATAAAAGTATACAAAAGTATCCCCAGCCATTTAAGTAATAAGAAATATGGAAATCCTAATTCATTGTACATCCCGATATTTTTGCATAAATTTGAGGAAGATACTATATCTTTAGGATCATGAAATGATCATTAACATGTACATTTTGTTATGAGGGTCAAGTATTTGAAAAGTATTTGTACATAAGGCTAGTACATTTGAGGGTAATTCATCCAATGAAAGGAAAAAATTATGAATTCATTAATTTTGAAGAGGCTACACCTTATTTTCATGTTCATGCTTTAATTACCCCCACGAATGGGTAATCCATTTTCTTGTCATTTGGAAATTTGGCAGATCTACATCTATGTCAACATTATGTTGTACAAGTTTCTATAATAGGTATCGGATACTGATTACTGATTATTGTTTTATAATGGAAGCCTTTGTGCTCATCAATTGTACATGTATGCAACCAATGAGTGTGTCATGTAGTGTGCAGGCCAATTTCATAAATCTGCTTGATAAATTGTTATCATTATTAAGCGTAAATGCCAATTCCAGTTTTGGATAATGGCAGTAGCAATCCTTTCTACATAGATTAGTTACATGTACTGAGTGCCCTTTTAAAAATGTATTTTCAGATGAAAATA